GAATAAATAGGGGTTATTTTTAAGGTGGGGGAACCTGAAGTTGCAGACTTTTCCAGTGCCAGATGGTAGCATTTATCAGACAAGGGACTAGCTGATACCACTTCTGGCACTTGGGAGCCGGTAGGTAAAGGGAGGATTGTCTCCCACCTCTAAGCTTAATCCTGTTTGTCTTGCAATCTCTTAATGCAATTTGCTGGCGTCCCCACAGCAAACAGCTTACCTGCAAACCCCTTTACCTGCTGACCTCTTCTGCTAAGCTTGTGCAAAACGGCACACAATGCTTCACAGTTCCCTGTTGGCTACTGGGTTACTTGCTGGTTGAAAGATCACCAGCATAGGTTAAATCTTCAAAGGGACTTACTAGAGGGAATTGGGACAAACATCACCCGGTTAAATCAGGAATTTCCACAGAAGAACTGACTCCCAGGCTTGTGCAATGTGCAGCTATGCAAAGCTGGGGGAGGCCAGAGGGGCTGGGCCAGCTTTTCAACATATTTAGCCCAATTCAAAAGCTGGAAGGTTTCCGTATTGCTCCCTTCGCTCGCCCACAGCTCTCTGGCATGTATTCTGACTAATTCACCGCTTGAATTCCCCACGACCTTGATGCTACCAGCTGCTCCAGCTGAGATTGCTAATCAACATCAGCAATCACATTTATAAAACTACAGGGAGTTTTGTGGCACTATTAAAGACTTACAGGTTTACTGTGGCATAAGATTTTGTGAAGGAAAGCCCAGTTTGTTAGAAGCATGAGGGTATCCCCAGTTGACAGAGAAACACACAAACCTACAGAAGATGGATTGTCAATCTGGGGCCAGGAGGCCGTGCAATGCAAGAGGAACAGCAGATCTGTGGCATTTCCAATCTATGCAAAGCTTGTATGTATGTAAGATAAGAAGCTAGGGAGGTTGCCTTATCATTAATTACTCCTGTTGCAAATGGCCACCATGCTTCTCTTGCAGACATTGGAGCTTTGCATAGAAATGTATGCTGGGTGAACCTCTTGCCTTGCTTGGCCTTTTGGGCCACTGTTTACACACACCCCAAACACACCTGTTGTGTGTGTGTGTGTGTGTGTGTGTGTGTGTGTGAGAGAGAGAGAGAGAGAGAGAGAGAGAGCGCACTAAGGATAATGTGTCATGTATCAGACAAAGTGGGCTCTCATCCAAGAAAATGTAAACTAGAAGAATTCTACTGCTTTTTCTGGTGCTGTAAGGTGTTTTTATTCTTGCTGCAAAAACTAGCATAACCATCTCTTTGGAATACATAAAAGTAAGGCGGAGCTTCAGGATCCCATGAGTTACACACTTCTACTAACCTTTAAGTCCCACTGCGTTCCATGGGGCTTGGCCACAACAAAGTGAGCACAGGATTTCAGCCTTGGGACCTCCATCCTAACCCTGGAGCACTTTGCGCCAGCAAGAAAAGCTAAGGTTGCCATATGTCAAAATGTGAAAATGTTGAGCTTTTGGGGGTCAAAGTTGAACTTTTGAATGAAAAATGAAGTTGTTCAGATATTTTTAAGGAAATTCACCAAAATCTTGACTTTTGACATGGGTTGCCATGTCTGGTTTTCCCAGACATTCAAGTGATTTCCGCCCAGACACTGTTTCAGAGTGCTGTATGTCCAGGAAATTCTGGATGCAAGGCAGCCCTAAGAAGAGCAGGTAACCAGCAGGCCTGGACTGGCTGATGATCCAGTGGATCTTTGGGCACAACTCCCCCTCTTGCCTCTGAAACACGCCTTTTGGGGGCTTTGCACTGGCTGCCACTGGTTGGGATGCCACCAGCAGTAGCTCCAAGTGGTATGTGCTTTTAGGCAGCTGAGTCTCCCCATCAGTGAAATCCAGCACAGCCAGGCAGAACTGAGCAGAAAGACATGTCCTCTGCCTCCAAACACCATGCAGCACAGTGGATCAGAGGCTAGATTGCTTTGTTCAGGAAGCAGGCAGGCTACAAATCTGCATTCCTATACTCACTTACTGGCAGGCAGCTCCATGGAACTGAATGGAACTTACTGACTAAGTTGACCTGTGTAACTTCTGCTGAAGGAAAGGTGGAAAAGGTGGGAGAGGGAAGGAACTCGTAGAGGCTGGATGGCCGTCTACTGCTGAAGATACTCTGAATATCTCGCAGTGAACGGAGAGTTCAAGCAGATGGCCTGCCAGGCCTCCTCCCACTCTAATCGCTCTGTTGTTGATACCTTTGGAAGCAGATACGTGGTTTAACACACACACCTACCCTGATCTTCTTTTCTCCATTGCCCTGCAGTAAGTTGGCTGCCGTCTTCCACAGCTGAGGCAACAGCTGAGGAGTTCTGCTGCGACAAGCTGAGCTGCAGGACATCTGTGGGGAGGACGGTTTGCACAAGGGACTCCATGAAGTCTGGCATAGAAGCTGGAGAGACTTTCAGGCCTGGACAGGTGGCACTGGCAGGGACAGGTGTGGGGGCAGAGGCTGAGGCAGGAGCACGGAGCCTAGGGTTGCCATATTTCAAAAAGTAAAAACCAGGACACCCCAAATATTGCTGAGCTTTTCTTTACAAAAACGGCAAAAATTTGTTTACTTGCCAAAGATCCAGGACAAACTGCTGCCTTCTGGAAATTGGAAATTCCCCTGGATGTCACTTCTGCCTTTGAAATCCCGGTAATGTCCAGGAAATCCCAGGTGTGTGTCAGCCCTAACAGAGCCACACCCCTTCCCTGCTGCACTATAAGGTGGATTTCAGCTTGGGAGAAAACAGCTGCAGGGCTGACTCACCTGGCAGCTGCAAAGGGCTTGGATAGATTCTGGTTCTCCACTTCTTTGCAGGGGAGACTGAGTTTCCACTCTATACAGAACTTCTTTGTCCTTCTGCCTTCTCCCTACGAGACAAATCTCAGTACGCCAAGTAGGCGGCTTGGCTTGCTTGTGGCTACAATATCTAACTATCAAGCAGAGAGATTCATTGGGAGACCTTTTCAGTCAAAGTTTGTTGTGATAGAAAGCAAGTTGTTCAGTAGTGGCTTCCTAACCATGTTTAATCAGAAGTCAGCCCTATTGAATTCAGTAGGACTTAAACTGCCGGGTGCGTGGGGTTAGGCTTGCAACCTAAGCTTTCCAGCAAAACAAGGCAGCAGGATTTGCATACCCTTTAGGGCAGAGGGTAGGAGACCAACAGATCTGCCCAAGCGCCAATCCACTGAGAAGTTCCTGTGCAAAAGCCCCCTTGATATGAGCTGGGAGCTGTGCAAGTGGGCAGACCTAGGAGGGGTCTTGCTCTCCCTGCAGGGTGGGCTAGTTGCTAGCAGGGCACACCGTTGGAAGCAATGGCGCTAGTGGCCATGGGGCCCCAAAACATAGCTGTCAACTTACAGATTTGAAAATAAGGGACCAGCAGCAAAAATAAGGGACCTGCAGCCTCACCTGTTCCAGGCACTCCAGTCTTCCTGTCCTCCTGCAGTTTGGTCAAACTCATGCTGGGTAGCTTCGAGAACACTGTCCAACCAACTTTGTAACCAGAGGTTCAACTGAATAGAATCTGAATCACATGCACCACAAGGCCTATGCAGCCTCAACTTAAGATGGCTCCCCGGCCTGGCTTTGCACTGCAAAGTTTGCAGCAGCACGTGCAACAAAATGGCGTCCAGCATTCAAAAAACCCCTCAGCTTGCATTAACTAACCACACACAAGGCATGCAAGCTCCACCCCCCAGTCGTTCTTAGACTTCTTATTGGGTGAGCAACAGGGCAGGGAGGGAGGGAGAGGAGCTGCTTCCTTTGAAATTTAAGGGACATCATTTAAGGGACATTTAAGGGACATCCATCAATAAGGACAGCAGCGGGACATGGCGCTGGAATAAGGGACTGTCCCTTCAAATAAGGGACACTTGACAGCTATGCCCCAAAACTGATAAAGCTTGCATGGTCATTTGTCTGTCTCCTTCTGCTGGACCTGAGAAGAGGCAGGGGGTCCCAGGAGGCTGAGGGAAGGGTCTGGCAGCTTTGTTCCTTTTCTCTCTAGAGGGCATCAATCCACTGTCATCCTCTATTTTCCATGCGGACCTTCCAACTTTTTCCACACTGCAGAAAGTCCAACGTTTTCCAGAGGCAGTGCATTTTCCACAGCTGAAATGTTTCCTCCGCTATTTTAATTCATTTCTAATGTGAAGGACATTTCAAGGGTGCTTCCCAACTGTTCCTATTTTCAGATTGGATTCATTTGCATACTGGCAAATTCAGGTTAAAGGTGGTTAGTGCTCATGCACAACAAGCCTGCTTCCCCACCCCCAAAATCAGACTCTTGCTATAAGGAAAGTGACAAGTAACACTTGCTCTGACACAGCATCCTCTGACCTCCCCACAAACGAAAAGGAATGAATGCTCAGTGCATAGCTGGCATTGTCTGATCTCCCTGCACACAAATCAGGATAAATGCTCAATAAACAGGTCATCTGGAAGCAACCGCAGTGCTAAAACCCTCTAATGCTCTGGCTCTGTAGTAGTAAAGTGTGATCGTATACCATTGCATTGAAGCCCTGTGCCACCTCTCTTTCATTATAAACTGGAAAAGGGTTTTTTAGCAACAATTAATGTCACCCACCAGCCGCAAGCGTTATACGGAATGGGTGCTAAGTTTCAAAGGGCTCCACCCACAGCAGTAGCATCACTCCTGCCAATGTGGAGAGAACATAGTGGGGGGGGCACAGAAAAACTGCAGTAATGCAGAAGCTCAGTTGCAGTTCTACCACAGAAGAGCGGCATCTGGGTAGTGAGAGATTATTCAGTCTGGAAACACATCTGCTTCTTTCTTTCTTTCTTTCTTTCTTCTTTCTTTCTTTCTTTCTTTCTCTCTCTCTCTCTGGTGAATGTTGCATGAGCTGGTGTAGTGGTTAATATTCTGGGCTGGGGCCTGGGAGCCCAACCATAAAGCCCACTGGGTCACCTTGGGCCAGTCGCTCTCTCTCTCGCTAGTTAACCTACTTCCAAAGGATATGCCTCTACCTCCCTCTCTCTTCCAGGCCTGCTACCTCTGCCACAGCCTCCTGACACTGGCCAATGTGGTTGTGGGAACCACGGCTGTCCCTCTGAGAGATCAGGTGAGTCAGGATCCCGGAGCAAGGACAGCAGAGAGCGGCTATGTGGAAAAGGGGGCTGTGCCCAGGCCAGCTAAGAGAACAGATCGCTCACCAGGAGAAATGAAAACTGCACTGTGTGTGACATTTAGCCTGGTGTGGTGGTGGAGAAGGCTGGAGGCAGGCCAGCTTTGTGGGCAGCATAAACTGCAGCTTCACGGCTTTGCTGGAGCCAGCTCACACACACAACACACAGAAGCAACAAAAAGTTCTAGCTCAGAGCAAAGAGCAACCGTGGGGCTGGGAGCGGCACAAAGCAGAACTCAGTTGTGGGGCTGCAGTGGTAGCTGAATGGTAGCCTAGCAGCCCGTGGGAGGGTGCGCTTGGGCAGAGAAGTGGCTCTCAATACTTTCCCACTCCCAAAGGAGTCCAAGCAAAAGCAAGAGGGAAGCAAAGGGGAACTGGGGTAAAGGTCTGGACTGAGCTACATATTACACACAAACCTGTCTTAAGCCTCCCTCAACTGTGTAATGTATGGCTTGGTCCATACCTTCTTCCAGTTCTCCTTTTGTCTTGTTTCTCTTCAGACTCCCTTTGGAGGCAGCCCTGTGTTGATACAACTAGCAGAATCAAGTCATCATGCTTTAAGCATAGCAGCAGCATTTCTGATTGACAGCCGCCCCACTTTCCTGCACATAAAACTTCCCTGCATGTGTGGGAGAAGGTTCACCTCCATGCTATCTATTTTAATTATATCTAGCTAAAGGCCCAGCGGTCTTTGTAAGCAGGGGCATGGGGCAATGCTCAGAAAAAGTATTGTTGTGGGGAAATACAGTAAACAGTATTGAAGGCAACAATAGCATCATGAGTACAAATCATGAAAAAGTGCAATGAAAAGGATGTCTGGTACCCAAAAATAATTTATTTATTTTTTAAATTATATTTGCATACCACAAAATAAAAACACAAAATGCATAATAAAAACAAGAACAAAACAAACCAATAACCCCCCGTCCCACAAACACATAAAGATATAAATGTGCATGATTTGTTCAAGCTGCAGAATGTGGCTTTCTCTGGATGCAGGATATCATCTACCCTGGTGCAGAATTCTGATATATATATATATTAAAAAAACACAAAGTTATTCTGCACTCTGCTAATGCTTCACCAGACGAGAGCAGCTTCTGCTCCCTGATAGATGCCTCTCTTCCTGCCTTTCTGTTCCCTTGACTCTGTGCTCCCCTTGCTCCCGCACCAGAGGCACCTCCAGCAGCTCTGCATCCAGCTGCAGCAACACATCACCACAGGCATACGGGAAGACGTTGGCCTCATGTACCGCACGGAGCTCAAGGACCTGGCTGCCCAAACCTTTCTCAAGTGGGAGGAGCTGCATTCTCGGGGCTGGCTCAAGAGAACCTCCCTGCAGGTAACTTCCATGTAAAGAGGGACCTGGAAAGACGTGGGAAGGGGTGAGTGAGCAGGTGGTGAGGCAGAGGAAGGGTCACAACTTCTCTCCCTGTCCTGTATTCAGGGGAAGGTGTGAAAGAGCCTCTGTGCACACAAACTCTGCAAAGGATCCTGACTCCACGGATGGAGCGGATGCGACGGCATTTTGGAACATGGATAGGCTCTTTTACAGCTTTCACCAAACAGAAGAAGCTGCCTTGACATGGGTCCTTCTAGCTTAGTATTCTCTAGACTGACCAGCAGCAGCTCTCCAAGGTTTCAGGAAGTCTGGAGGTGCCAGGGGCTGAGCCTGGGACCTTCTGCAGGCAAGACATCTGCTGTACCACCGAGCAGAGCATCCAGAGCTGAGCCAGGCCAGCAAGCTCAAGCAGGTGCAGCCCTGTTCACACACTCACACAAAAGTGCAGTGGAACAAAACATGTGAAAGGAGCTAAAATGGCACCATGAGGCAAGCTGAAGATGATGGGAGGGTGCCCTTAAGGGCAGTGCAATAAGATACAGACCAGTCTGACCACAGCCACTGGGAGGACCAGGAGAACTCTTCTGTGCAGTGTGTGTGTGTGTGTGTGTGTGTGTGTGTGTGTAAGGGGGATGTCATTTGGATAGTCCACCAAAAGCCTGGCAGTATTTCAAGCCAGCCTGGGATGCATGGGACCCTGGCAGCTGTGGCTCCATTTCCAGCTGTCTGTGGCTAATCACACATGACACACACACCCGTCCCTGCTGGGTGGCAAGAAGCTCACAGCTTGGAGCCAGCAGAACAAGGAGGAAAGGGATCAAGCGTGCCAGAGCTGTGTCTGACTTGGAATCATAGAATTGCAGAGTTGGAAGTACCCCAAGCGTCATCTTGTCCCACCCCCCGCAATGCAGGAATCACAGCTCAAGAATCCCTGGCAGATGGCCACCCAGCCTCTGTTTAAAAACCTGCAGGGGAGGAGAGCCCACTACTTTCCCAGGTAGCCTGGTCCACTTGGTGCCATTTGTGCTACAGGCAGTGGCATAGCGTGGGTTGTCAGCACCCGGGGCAAGGCAAGTAATTTGCGCCCCCTAACCCATGGATTTGCGCCCCCTAACCCGTGGATTTGCGCCCCCTAACCTGTGGATTTGCCCTAACCCCAGATGTTGCGCCCGGTGCGGCCGGCCCCCCCTGCACCCCCACGCTACGCCACTGGCTACAGGTCAGCCAAGAAAGACTTCACTTGTACCCCAAAGCAAGGAGTGGGCAAGCTCCCAGCAGTTCCTGCTTTGGTCCTGGACAGCTCCAGAATATTAACCAAAAACCCCACCTGGAGCTTGTGTGTACTTGTGGTGCAAGAAAACCACACTTTCCCTTGCTTTCCACCTCCCCGTCTCCATTACTCCCAGTGACTGCAGGCCACAGCAGCACCCCCTGCACAACCCCCCAGGAGAGGAGCAAAGCAATCTCTGCAGGATGGAAAAGAGCTTCCCTGGTCTGGGTGAGGGGACTCTGGGCTCTGTTTCAGATTTCCGTAGGAGGGTACAATGAGATTTTAGTATGATGGTGCAAGATTCTCTATGAGGTTGGAAAGGCTGCTCCCTGTTCAAGATTAAATTACAGCACATTGGTTTATCTTCAGAAGGTTCCTATCTTTTAAAGAACTCAGTATGACTATGGCACTATTATGAACACAGGCTAGACAATCCTTTGTTTGTTTGTACACTGGCCCATTTCATAGATTAAAGCAATTGCCGTTCTGTGCTTGAGGCCAGCTGAGTTGCCAGAAGTCTAGGCGTTCCTGGGAAACAATCAGATGTGGCCTGAAAGGTGATGAGGCAAGGGACTGGCCGCTCTCCCATCTTCACTAAATCTTGTTCGGGGGGGGGGATGTTGCCTGAAGCCAACCCCCTGTAAAACATATCCTTGCAAATCCTGTCATCTTCCATTCTGTGGACATGACCAAGCCAGCATAGACGTCACTGAGACAGAAGCAGGGTATTTTTTCAGCTGGAACTCGCCAGAACTCAGTTCCGGCACCTCTCAAGTAGGCACCATTGCCATGATGAGAGAGTTCTGGCACCTGTTTTTCTAGAAAAATAGCACTGGGCAGAAATGCAGACATGCTGGGAATGTGGACTCGGATCTGCAGGGGGCAGGTCAGATGCACAGCTGAACATGCACAAAACCTTGGTGCGTTCAAAACTGTGCCAACTTAGTTAAGTGCAACAATATGATATTGCCAGTATACCAAGGAATTGTGGGTTGACTCCAATGCCAGTCCTACTTAGACCCATTAAAGTTAATGAACATGATTAACTTAGGTTCATTCATTTCAGTTGGTCTACTCTGAGTAGAACTCAGATTCTATACATTTTGAGTTTTCTTTGTCCATATTGCTGTACAATTTTTGAATCTTATTTTAGTGCACTGGCTCTAGAGGGAAAGAAAGGGTTAATAAACTCCCCCTTGGGAAAGAGTGCCATGCCAGGGGAGACTGATCAGTAGCTTTGGGCAGAGATTTGCAGGAAAGGGCCTCACTGGGGATAAGACCCTTTGTCTTCTGTGCAGGCTTACAAAGCCAGAGAGAGCTCCAGCCCTGCTCAGGCAGGTTGGCCTGGCTGCAGGATCCTGGGAGCAGAGTCCAGGGCACCACAGCAGAGGCTTTCTGACCAGGGAAATTAACTACAAAATTTTGGAACTCTTCCAAACCTCTGCCAAACTTTGGCAGTTGTTTTGCAGCAAAAAAACCCTCTCTGCATTTTGCAGCATCTCACAAACTGAGCAACTGATACAGCTAACATGGGGTTTGTACTTAACATTAACTACGAACCTCAAAATTTGGAATAACCTCCAAACCTTTGTGACCCATTCCTGCACCCAGGAAGCCCAAGAGGGCTGCCTAGCACTCCCACCCCAATCCCTTGATTTACAAGCTGGGATGATGCTTACATCCTTTTGTGCAAACGTGATGGGAAACAGAAGCACCACTTCCATGACTCTTCTCCGCCTCCGTTGCTGAAGGACTGACTCACCCCAGGAGTTAATGCTGGCTGGGCCCTTTCCTGCTAGTGTGGCCTGGGGGAGGGGGGGCTGTAGAGAGGAAATGATCTTCATTAGCGGGCTCAAATCAAAGGGGTTCAGAGCTGTTACTGCCCACTTAATTACTAAACAGAGTTTAATGAGTTGTCTTTCCTTCCTGACCTGGTGGCTGCCCTCTTTTAATCCAATCAGCCAGGACAGGAGGAGAGCGCTGGATGCATCAATAGCTGCCTACGGGGCTGGGGTGTGTGGACACCTCACGAGTTTCAGCATTGTGAGCAAGTGTTCTTTAGGAAAGGGACACACTGAATTATTTGTAATACAGTGCCATCCATGCAAATGGCATTCTGCAAAGTTTCATAAGCAATTTTTTTTTAAGCTGGCGATATAAATTCCAGCAGTGCTCTTGCACAGCTCCTGTTTATTGTAATGTGCTGAGAAACTTCACTTTATGTTTTTTGCCTCATGATGTCTCATGCTATTGTGAGGTGGAAAATGCCATTTGCCTCATGCCCCCAGATGCCTTTGGGTGACCCCAGTCCTCCACAGCGGGCAGAGGAGAGGCTGTCACTTTGGTGTTCAGGACCTGTGTGTCTTGGTCTCTAACACCACCAGCTGTTCCCAGACCATCACCCCAAATCCCTTCCCTTTTTCCACGAGGGAGAACAGAGCCAGAATCCCTGTCCTGTCACACAAAATGTGAATCTGCAGAGGTTGGCTGCTCACCCCCAGCCACAGGGTTTGCCATGTGTGCAGATTAATGTGCTTTTGCAGACCTGTCCTTGGCATTCTCCTCCTGCCTGACAGCCTTTCCTGGCCCCCTTCCCCCACCTATGTTGCAGGGACCAGGAGAGGGAGAAAGTTGCCTGTAGGGGTTACTTCTGAGCCACACCATGTCCTGCTTGCTCATGCACTAGAGCAGTGTTTCCCAACCTTTTTTGGGCAAAGGCACACTTGTTTCATGAAAAAAATCTCGAGGCACACCACCATGCCAGATGGGGAAAGGTCACTTTGTACTTATGTAAAAAAAAAAAAAAAAAATAGTAACAGCATAGAAGGTAATGGTTAGGCTAGCATCCCTCTTCCAAATATGCTAGGTTTTTATTTGCAGGGACTGTTCTACATGGGAAAGCATTCAGCACTGTCATTCTCCCATCTGCCATCTGAATTGGTACTATTCTGGGTCAACTTACTCTGCTGCATGTGTAGATGAAAATGGCACCAAGTGTGGGGGAGGGGGCAGAACAGGTTTCAGATACAGGATATTAAGCATACACGTACTTCAGATTGAACTGGTTGCTTGCTTTGCAAGTTTTCATTTCCCAAATGACTGCCTTGGCAAGCGCAATACCTACCAGGCTCAACGCCGGTCTCGCGCTGCCGCTTCCCGCGCTCTCAAGGACCCGGGAGGAGGAAGGCGTGAAGGGAATCCCAAAGGTGCGAAAACCTCGCGCATGCGCAGGCCTTCCGCCTGCGACAGCCCAGTAGGCCGGCCGAAGCGAGCGGCGATGGGATGTGGGAGGGAGCTCGCTTGCCGCCCCGCGTGTGCCTATGTGGGGCACGTTACAGCCCCGTGACGTCAGCGCCACGCAGGCAGCCAGGCAGGCAGACGGCGAGAGCCCCGCGCTGGGCGGCCTCTCCTCGCCGCCGCCGCCCCGCCTCTCGCCGCCCGACTCGCCCGCCTCCCTCCAGGCAACATCTCGCGGCACACCAGGCAACGTCTCGCGGCACACTAGTGTGCCGCGGAACACCGGTTGGGAAACACTGCACTAGAGGACCCAGATGTGCTGATAGAAGCTCCCCCACAAGGGGTTGGTTGACTATTTTGCTGCCTGAGGCAGAACCTCAGTACCTCAAGGATCCTGCGATCCTCCTCTTAGGCCCTTCTCCACGTGCCTCCTCCGCAAGAGGTACGGGGGGCGGGCAACGCAGGGTCTGTGGTGGCTCCCCATTTGTGGAATGCTTTCCCCAAGGAGGCTTGCCTGGCACCTTCATGGCATATCTTTAGGTGCCAGGCAAAAGCATTTTTATGTAATCAGGCTGACAATCTATGGCCTTTTAAACTGTGGAGGGGAGGTTTGTTTTGTTACTATGTTGCTTTTCGCGTTTTTGCACTGTAAACCACCTGTGATCCTCAGATGAAGGGTGGTATATAAATTTAATTAATTAATTAATAAAAACAAACAAAGCAAAAACCCCTGCAGCAGATGTGCAACGCCCTGCCTGTCCTGACCACCTTGTGCATCCATCTGGAAGGGAAGAGCCCCCCCCCCCCCGCTACTCAGTCAGCATATGCTGCCTAGAGCCATACATTTTAACAGTAGCCGCAGCTACTTTGGACTGTGTTCTTGGAACACTGCAAAGCAAAGCAAGAGCAAGCGCTCAGTTTCTAAAAAGAGAGTTGCCAGGGCTCAGCTTGTGTGGAAGCATAGCCATCTGCTCTGGAAGGAAGTTCTGCTCCTTGGAGATAGATTTCCGTGGGGGCCAAGGCTACCCATGGCTGTTAGCCTCACTGGCTGGACTTTGCCTCTGCAGTCAGAGGGTTGCATTGTTGGCAGCCACAGGAGCGGAGAGTTGTTGGAAACCCTCAGGTCCTGCTGGAGGGTCTCCCAAAGGCACCTGGGGCCACCGCGACTGGAAGGGCCATTGGCCTGATCCAGCAGGCTCTGCTGATGTTCTTAGCGGTGAGGAAAAGTCACGTCATGCCTGCTTACTTGAACAAGAGACGCAGATGAGAGCCATGCTCAATGGGTGTGGGTGTAGAAAGTGAACCAGTGTGGTCCAGTGGTCAGAATGTTGAGGTAGGACCCGGGGGGTCAGGGTTCAAATCCTGAAGCTCACTGAGTGGGTGTACCATGGATCAGCCACAGTTTCTCCACCTAACCTACCTCACAGGGTTGTTGTGAGGATAAAATGAGAGGTGGGAGAAGCACCTACACCACCTTGAGATCCTTGGAGGACAGCTGAGCAATAATTGCAATAATCAAGGTGGAAGGGGGGGGGACAACAGGCCAAGAGTGGCAGTGTCTGCAGGAGGCTTTGCTTATGTAGCTCATAGCTGCCCCCCAGAGCTGACGTCTGCTGCAAAATATGTTTCTGAGAGTTTGTCCTTGTGTTTTCCTCCCCTCTTAGGGCCAGAATGAAAACATCTGATGGGACATATCCCAAGAAACCAGGGCTTTGCCAGAGGGAGCAGCAGCAAGGAGCCCAGCAAAGCAGTTTGGTGGAGTGAGGCAGGCGCACAACAGTTCCCCCCCCAGTCCCCCCCCTTCCTAGTTCCTCAGCCGCAGGGGCATTTTAAACTTGGGTTTCAAACCTTTTTTTCTAAAGGAGAAAAGTTCTTTCAAGGGCTAAGCTAACAATGTTTGCTATTTATTTGCACAACCTTGTGCCTTTAAGAAGTGTGCCTTTCAAAGCAAAAACGCTCAAGGAAGGAATATCCACCCCTCTCTGCACAGAGGAGGCCAAAATAAATGTCATTTTTAATGGATTTTATTTCTCTCTTCCTGGCTGTTCCCTGAGGTTGTAACAGTAAGTGCTCTACTGCATGGCGATGGGCCACATCAAGGGTGTGGAGAGGACTCTTAAAAGCATGCTGGATTCTTGTTACTTGCCGGGGAGATCAGGAAAGGGATCTGGAGGAAATGGAGGCTGTACTTCCCGAACTGCTGGTGGGTCTACAGAACCACCAGGCGTTTGCTCAGCGGAGGTCAGTGCTAAGAGGCACGCATGATTCACCTGCAGCAGGCTCTGGGTTCAATCTAGCATATCAGGTTGAAAGGACTCAAGGCCTTGCAAAGCTGCTCCAGGCTGGCGTCAAGGGTCAGCATCTGCCAAGGGCTCAGCGCAGGTGAGGAGAGTGCCCTGTTGCAAGCAGGTAGATGCAGGGAGGGAGGGGGGCCCTGGAGAGTGTCTTGTCCAAGGATCCTCCAAAACATGGAGTCGATGCATGCTGCTCGCTTGCATGACAAAGCAGGAGGAGTCACTGCTCTGTCTAAAGCAGACTGGTGTGCAGTTCCAACCCAGCACCATCTTTTTGCTTATTGATCTAGCTCTGAGGAGTGTCTTGGCTGGGCAACAAGAAGCAGCTGTAGAAAGCCAACTGAAAATAGAAAAGGGGGTGGGGAGGGAGTCGCAAGATAACCCTCTGTGACCCAGGCACTGTGACCTTACAGAGTCATTTAAGTTGGCGGCCGCCATGTACCACTCTCCAAATGTCACTCTGAATAGGCAGGCGAGAGAGGAAGGGACACATTTGCAGACTCAGGTGGGCAAGATACATGAGTGACCCGGCTCCTCTCCGCTTCCATTCAAGAGACTTCTCTGGCCTCAATATAAAGGGACCTGAAAGAGCCTGGAGGCTGGAGAAGGCAGGTCCAGTTCAGCATCCTGCTTCCGCATCAACCAGCCAGATGCGCCTTGGTACCTGGGAAGCAGATGCTGTTAATTCGATGTCAAGGTGGCCTCACTAGTGAGGTCCTTCCAGCAGGGATGAAGCAGTAAATTAAAATAGCCTTCCCTTTGGAAGACAAAACAGCCAGGAGGAAGGATGGTGGCATAGTGTCCTCCAGGACATCTGAGACTGCAGGCTGGGCCACCTAACAGAAGGGTTGGTCCAGGCCAGAGGTTTCCCTCCTGTGTTGTGTAGCAGTGAAGTTACTGAACTATGAGCAAAGATCCTTTGTTGCTTCTGCTTTGAATTAAGCAAATTACTAACACTCCCATTTGGGGATATCTCAAGGGTATAGGATGCCTGGCTTTGGTTGGTGGATCAGGGCCCTGACTGTGGCCTGATTTAAGGTTGTTTGCAACAGCAGCACTACCACCATACAATTATATGGTTCAAGATTAAAAAGGAGGTCCCCCCCCAAAAAAATACATTTTTGTGTCTGAAAAATCCTCTACATACAGAAGGTCCCAGGTTGTCCAGTACTCTAACCTAGCTTTCGCCAACTTGGTGGCCTCCAGATGTTTTGGACTTTAGCTCCCATCAGCCCCAGTAAGCATGTCAGTATGCTATTGGTGGTGTTGGGCAACTCTTGGTGCAAGCAGGCAGGGAACCAATAGCAGTGAACAACTCAGATTGCCATATAATTTACTCATGTCAAATCTGTATCCTTCAATGCATCCCATATATGCATACCTTTACATGTAAATAAATACTAATGAGATTCAGGGCAGGGGAAACCAATGATGTAAGCAGAGTTCTAGGTTGTGACTCCCACCCGTCTCTTAAAATACAAGGGCACTTTCCCAGCACAATGAAGTCAGACAGGTTGTGTCCTGTGAAATCTATGTGGGACAATGGTCCTGGGATTGGTGATAAATCCCTCAGGATTAGCCACTGAGCTTCTCTATCTTTAGCCCTTTGAGGAAGGGACAGGCCAGGCTCTTAGGCTAGCTGGGGACTTTACAAGCCACCCAGGCCCTGTCCTGTTCAGTCACTAGTGTTGTTGGCAGGTCAGTGTCCCAACTGCAATGTAAATATCCACTTCCAGGGTGGGAGGTGCTCTTCTGGATCCAAGGAGGGCCAGAAAAGATATTGGGGGAAAGGCTGTGGGTTGCACGAGGCAGGGTCTCCCTTTGCCTTTTTCAGTGATTCCCTCACTGCATCCACAGGCAGCAAGGTGCAGAAGCTGACTCAAGCGGTGGACTTTTACACATCTATTTCACAGATATATACCCTGCCTATTAGCAAATCTTTTCACAAGACAGCTTACAAAGATATAAAAACGATACAAATGCAAACAACAGATTGCCAATCTGTACTCAAGAGACAGTGGAGTGTCTCTGGGTGTGAAGTCAAAGCACTGAGAATCACAGCACCTGCTGTGGCTGCGGAGAATGGTAACTTGTGATTGCTGCCTCCTGCGTTGTTTTTGTTGCATTAGGAGCACCAAAGGGACCTCTCCAGGATGCATGCTTGGGCCGTGTGTATGGACTGCTCAGATGACAAAACAGCCTTTCTGATGTGGTTCAAAGGAAATTATAGCAATATGTTTGGCACCAGCTTGGCTGCAGGAGTTGCTGGAAGGAGATGTATGAGGTGCCCTCCAACTGTCTTGAGGACTCCACTCCAGATTTGTGTAGGGTTTACTTCTCACAAGGCAGCGGCTACAAATTTTTCCTCAGGGTTTACTGCTTTCTTAGGAATGAATATAGCTGCAAAGCAATGGAGATTTAGGATCAGAGTTTTCCTCCTAGAAGGGCTACCTTCCCAGGTTGACAAGCCCCATCTGCCCCTCATTTCCCTCTACAGCAAGTGCAACACCTCCTTCTTGGCCATTTAACCCACTCTTGGTCTTGTCTGCTCAATTTGCCTGAACCTGTATTTGCATGCAGGGGAATTCCCTAACTCACCAAGGGTTTCAGACCCATCAGCTCCCCTCACCTGGTTTAGCCAGCCAGTGGAAGCCATTCCCTGGGGTGTGGCTGCTGTCGCCTGCTGACAGCTTGTAAGAGCCACAGGTGAGATCTGAGTACACGGTAGGGACCAAAGGTGCACAAACCACCACAGAAGGAGCATGACCTGGCCCCACCAGAGCCACTGCCCCTCCCCTAAACCTCTATACAGATATGGTTACATTTAGGGTGACAGATGAATGCAGAAATGAATTGCTGAATGGTGCAGCAAGCTTTAATGGCGCTAGCATGGGGAAGGGTTCTCTGCGTCAGGCAGCAAAAAATATTGGTGGCACTTGTTTTACTTGGCAGAGTTAGCACACAGCTTGAAGCTGGCTATGCATTGAATCCTTGCTGGGAGAGCAGGCTTACCTTGGTTGCTCACAGAAAATAAGAAAGCTTAGGTTTATTTTAGGAAACACTTACTTGGATAGAAAAGAGTTCCTCGTTCTAGCCAACTAAGTTGGAGTTGCGGAGAGTTGTGCTTGCCTCTTGCACTCAGCAGAGAGACGCACAAATACGTCCTCTCTCCATCAGCTTCAGAATGAAGAGCATGAAGAAAGGGGAAGCAGGATCCTGGGTCAACAACTCTAAGAATATCAGCCTAACATCAATAGAATCAATAGAAAGGTCAGCACAGAGATCAAAGGATAGTGAGACAGATTGGGAATCTTGGAGGTTCCCTTCTCCATCTGCTTTAACCCCTTGCAAACCCTGCAACAAGCTGAGTTGCATCCCAGCAGGTCCAAAAGCAATGGCCGCACTCTGAATGCACACCCTACCTTCTCTGAGCTCTTCCCAAAACATTTTGGAAGCCTGAGGTATATTTCTAAAGTAAGCTAAAGTGGTACAGATAAATTGGCATATGCAAATTGTATGCAAAACTGCCTCTTCTTTTCTTCTCCTTTGGTGATGTGTTTCCTCTTTTTCTGTCAATGTGTGAATGATCACCCTAATGAGACACAGTCTGCAAAGAATGCAAGAGAACTTCCCTCTGGATGGTAGCCAGTGGGTGATGCCCGCCTGCCTGTCACTGTTAAGGGTGCTCAAAATCCGCAAATTGCTAAGTGGGAAATGGCCTTGGAAGCAACTTGGCCAGTCTTCCTGCAGGGTGCATTGGGACTGGCCAGATGGCTGTGGGCGGGTTGCCAAACTGATAACAGGAAGTGTTGGGAGAACTCTGTCAAAGGATGCTTCCTTACCTTGCTTTAGGCAAAGGAAGGCAGCAGATTCTGGCTAAGAGGCAGCAAATGGCCAGGATTCTTTTTAAAAAAATAATAAACACTCTTTTAGCTATGTGCAGAGAAAGTGGGAAACCATTAAGATTTCCTTTAAACCACCTTGGGCCAGCCAAAGGGATGAAGAAAGTGCTGCTTGCCCATGACTTGCCCTTCTTGCAGTTGTTGCCTTTCTTGCTCACATCCTGCTTCACCTCAGCCCCAGTTCAGCCCCCTCGGCCCTCCAGTACCTGGAGAGAGGCTGGCGAACTGGGAGAGAGGGGAAGCAATACCTGCCAGCTGAAGCAGATCCCTGGTTTCAACAGAACTGGGAAATCCCAGGGTGGGGTTAACTGTCACACAAGTAAGAACAAGATGCACATTTCTATTTATTGCAAAGAGTAAATGTGGAAACAAAGACTTGTTTTGGTGGAAAAGGACACACTGCTATGGCTGAGAATGCCCAGTTGTGTAACAAAGGTGTTGCAGTTTGGAATGGTGGTTAAGCACATGAAACTTAACCCAGTCTGAAAGTTCCCTCCGCCTCCTTCCATTTTGCCTCCTCCTGCAGGGAGTGTAAGTGGGGGGGGGAGGGGGGAGGGAAACGCTCAAAAAGTGCTCTGTAAACATCCGCCATTGTTATTCTCTCTATATTACGGCTGTGTCTTTCCATCAACTCAGAAGTGTACCTACTCAGTGCAATAGCTCCAGGTCACTTAACACTATATATAAACTTTTCCAGCACATATTTTTGTATGTGTGTGATGCGAGATTATTCCAATGCATGTGAAATAATTGTCATTGTTGAAGAACTGGGATAGTATGTATTTGGGACAGATACAGTCTAAAAAAAGAGCTTTTTCTTTTTATT